CTCTTCCTCCATGTGTCGCAGGAGGAGGTCAAGGTGCAAGGAGGCCAAAGCAAGTGGCCAGAGATTTGGGGGTGAGCTTGAGACTGGCAAGGTGCCTGCAGGGCTATATAGGTGCTTTGTCCCAGAGGGCAAAGCAAATTCTGCTTGCAAAGCCCGTGCCATGACTGCAGCTGCCCTTGGGAGCCCTGCAGGAACGTGCTGGGCTCTGACCACACTTGGCACATGTGTCTTCCTTGCAGTGTTTTGGCAGAGCATTTGGGTCAGTGCCACTGTGTAAAGCCCTGCTCTGCAGCCCCAACTCTTAAGGTGCCTGCAGAGCAGGACAGGGGCTTGCTTGGTGCTTGTGTGTGGGCGCCATTTGCCTCCTTTGAAGAAGGCAGGGGACAGATGTTGACTTTTCCAGCCATGACAGCAAGCTGGGAGTCGGTGTTTTCCTCTGGGGTTACCTTCCAGCTGGGTTTCTGCTCTTTCCACCCATTCTCTGCTTGCCCTTGGATTCTCTTCCAGCCTCTGAGCTGCCCCATTATGCCCTGGCTCTCCTCCTTGCTGAGGACCGTGCTTAGTGGTGCATGCACCACTCTGGGAAGTGTGAGTTTGGCCTCGGCTGTGACGGTCGCCTTTTGCAATTATCTTTTGGGGTGGACCGGAGCAGAACCACCCCGGATCGTGGGGGCAAACGCTGAACGCATTGATGGTGTTGTCGGCGGCAGCATCTCCCTGGCGTGCGATGTCCGCTCCCATGTGGACGTGGAGATCGCGTGGTACAAGGACGGCCGCATCCTGGAGCCTGGTGAGGAAGTGTTCATCACCCCAGGTAGGTCCAGGCGAGTACCGCAGGATCCACACCAACTGCTAACCCTGTACCAAGGGCTCTAACTTGCCTAACCAGCCCCTTCTGGATGCTGTGCAAGAGACTCCTGAGCTAAGACCTTCAGATGTAACCATATGCTAACAACTTGCTCTAAGCCATCCTCCTCTCCCAGGAGGTGGCATCCTGCAGGCTCCAAGCTGATGCTCTCCAAGAGCATCCCTAGGAGCATCTTCTGCACCTTCCACTGCAGTGTGTGTCAAGGCCTTGAACCTCGACAAGAGACTTTGGGTCCGGGTGTCTGCTGCTGCTTGGAGCTGCTGTCAGCTGGCGAAGGGATGCGATGGTTCATGAGCTCAGTGTCTTGGAACTGCGCCTGGCTCCTGCCCCCCACCCCAACTTGCTGCTCTTGGCTTCTTCTAGGCTCGCACATCCTGCAGATACCCCACTTGCAGCTTTCCAGCACGGGCATATACATGTGCGTGGCTCTGAACACGGCCGGCAGAGCTGAGAAGCTCTTCATCCTCACCGTGCAGGGTAAGCAGCGGCACTTGGCCAGCAGGTCTACCTGCACAGAAGCCAATATCTCCCTTGCCTACCCCAGCTCCCAGCAATTGACTCCAAAGGCCCTGGTTGCAACTGCTGGCCTCAGGTCCCCATGAAGGTTCCCTTGTCCCTGCCTCCCTCAGCTCCACCGGCTGAGGCCCGGGCTCCGGTGGGTCGGCAGCCAGCCGTGACGGTGCGGGCCGGGGACACAGCCGTCCTGCACTGCAGTCTGGAGGAACAGCCGGGATCCATCATCACCTGGTACAGGGATGGGCAGGAGCTTGTGGCAGGGGACAGTGGTCGCATCCTGCCAACAGGCCGGAGGCTGGAAATAGAAAACGTGCAGGTAAAGCTGCCCTGTGGTGGGCATCTCACTGGCTCTGCCTACGCTGGATCTAACCGCATCCCCTTCCCTCCACCAGGCCTCAGATGAAGGGTTTTATGGCTGCCGGGTAGTCGGTACCATGGGAGAGGTGGCGCAGACCTTTGTGCTCGCTGTCCAAGGTGGGGACAGAAAACCAGGCTTGTGTATAGATAGATATATGCACCATCACTAGCCCCCTGAATATCCAAATATAGAAATGTTTTTTCTTTGGGAATATCATCATCACCCTCTTGCACTCATGATGCTCTTGCTGTGTGGGGATGGAAATGCTCCTCTGCATAGGGATGCTGCTGAATTGGCGGCAGCAGCAGAGGCTCCTGCATGCAGGGACAGCACGGTGCCTGTGCTGTGCTTGCAGCCCCAGCACTGCTCCTTCCCCCAGCACCCCCGGGCATCGAGGACCCGCAGCAGGAGACACTCGACGCGGCCATGGGGACGCCCCTCATCCTCACCTGTGAAGTCACCGGCAAGCCCGTACCCATCGTCACCTGGCTGAAGGATGGGCGCCCGCTGGGTATGAGCCAGGGTGATGCTGCCATGGGCTCTGATCTCGCGCCGTGAAGCCATCCTGCCTCAGTTTCCCTATTTGCAATCCAGTGGGGAGACAGCAGCACCTGATCTGGGTGCTGCAGGGCATGGCAGAGCTCCAGGACAGAAAGGAGAGGACACAGAAGTGCTGGCATTTCTTCTACCTGCTTCTAAGAGGCCTCACAGTTGTTCACGAGGCTCAAGGAAGGGGTGTGGGTGCAGGTTGTGAGGCAGGGGCCTCTCTGGGCACCAGGCAGTGGCCTCTGTCCCCAGCTGGTGGTTCATGCCCTTGAAGTCCCAGAAAGATGCAGTGTGGACACGCTGCCTCCGTGCAGCTTTCACCTGTCCTCCCGCCTGGGTCTTGGAGCCAGGGGGTCCTGGGGAGGGCTCGGCAGGGCAGAGCCGCTGCAGCCCCTGTCCCTTTGCCTGATCTCCTCGCAGAGAGCAGCCCGGAGCAGGGCCTGGTGGCGCGGGGGCCGCAGCTGCAGCTCAGCCCCTTGCAGCCCTTCCACGAGGGCCGCTACACGTGCCTGGCGCGCGGCCACGGCGCCGACGTGCGCAAGGACTTCCTGGTGCTGGTGCGAGGTAGGTCTTGGTGCTGCGGCCAGAAGACCCTCCTCAGAGGGGCACATAGCCCAGGCAGCCTTTCTCCTCCTCATCCTCGTCCTTGATCTTACTCTCTTCCCCACGCAGTGGCTCCCCGGATCACGAGTGCAGGGGTCCCCAGCGAGCACAGCGTGCTGGAGGGCAGTGGGGTGACGCTGGAGTGCCAAGCTGAGGGGCAGCCTGTCCCCCAGGTCACCTGGCTGAAGGACGGGCAGCCCCTGGGGCTCCAGCCCCCATCACGCGCCCGGTGAGTCCCCACGGGGCCAGCCTGGATGGGGACCGCCCCGAAATCTGGTGCGGGTACCTGGCCCTGCAGCATCCCCTCCATGTGGTACCCACGGCGGTGACCTCGGAGCATCCCTGTGCTCACCACCCCGGGCTCCCCACGCAGGCTGGCTCCAGATGGCAGCTCTCTGCTCCTCGAGGGGCTCCAGGCTGCTGATGCAGGTGCCTACACCTGCCTGGCTCGAAACGGTGCC